GGGCCTGTAGAGAGAGCAGGGCCTCCAACAATGTGATGGGCAGAGAACAAGCCCTCACACATGCCTCAGATTGCCTGTGTTTAAAGAAAAACTAACGCCAATTTAAAATGGTTCCTATTAGCTATAGCCTGTGCCACCCAAATGGGGGCACCAAATGTGCTAGGTTCAACACTGACAAATTCATATGCTTATTCTATAAAAACTCCAAAAACTTTAAATAAAATCTATCTATCTATCTATCTATCTATCTATCTATCTAACATGTTTGTTCATATTGTTGAATGTCACGTCTCTATTTGATCATGTGATGAGATGATCTGATACAGTGGCTAGTTTGGATGTAAAATCTGTTAGGACAGACAAGGTGAGAACATCTGCAAGCCGAGTGAGCAGTCATGCCTTTTAAACATGTAAGTAAGAAAAGATGAGAGAAATGAACAGCAGGTGAAGGTAACAAAGCTCCCTTAAGATTCCTGTGATTTTTTATAAACAGTCACTAGTGCATGTATGTGTGAATGCCTATATGGTGCATGCATGTGTGTGCTTCACAGCTAGTAAAGAACGTGTACTTGGGCCTGCCATATTAGCGTGCACTTTGTAAGAACCTTATGCCACTGTGAAGTCCATTATTATTTTTTGTTTTGAGATACCTGTGATCTTTCCCAACATATAGTTCAGTTATCCTTTTATGTCCTCAACTTCATCTTCCAAAACTGACATTCTGACATGCAGACAATCAGACGTCCAAGGATACTGGTGTTGTTAGTTTTGGCCACTACAATGTGGTATAGGGCTACAGCCAAGCCAAGCTAGTTAGGCTAAGCTATCTTCCAGGCTTAGGGCCCGTGGACATGGTGCGTTTTAGCGCCTTCAAATCCATTGTTGTCAATGTAGACACAGGAACGTGTGCTCAAACACAAGAGCTATGCCTCTGCAATGTGCAAGCTTTCCAAGCACTTTTTTTTTTCAAGTTGCAATGGATGTGCACTGAGATAAACAAAGTTCAACTTTTGTAACGCAGCAGCGTGCACCGCATGTCACGTGACAAGGAACAACCATTCACATCTAGCAGATATCTTTTCCTTCTTCCATAAATGTCAGGTCATGGCAACTGTGGAGAAGAGATTAATCATTTTAGTGCAGGTCTACCCAGACCTTCACATCTGTCCCACAGACAATATTTTCGGCCTAAACAATGCCTGGAAGATAATCAGCTCTGTGCTCAGAATTTCTGGTAAGTAGGCTATGCTGGTTGCTTAGCAACCTCAGGTGCACTCTTAATGTTGGCACACAGTAGGTACAGTAGTACCACCCAGTGCCCAACCTCGTGTTTTCCAGGTGGTTAAAGACACGACGTGTATGGGCCCTTACCATCCGTCACTTGTTCAAGTCCCTAAAGTTAAATTGTTTTCTCAATCCAGGCATCGGTCAAAGCTGGATCATCTGAGGTCCAACACCTGAATCCACAAATACAAATTCCAAAATACCAAATCTGTCGTTTAGGCAAAGACTCTCGAAAAGCAGAGAGACACATGATGCACAGACAGTGCAACCAATGAAGACCAGGGTTTCTATGTGGCTGTTTTCTTGCTTTTATGGCTTACTAAAACTGCAACAAGATAGTTATTTTGACCAGCTCTCAAAGTTCAACACTTAATTAGTAGTCGACTTATAGGTGAAATGCTGCCCCACATTAGTTTGGAGAAGGTAGGCAAGTACTACACATTGCACCTTTAAGTGTATCTGAAAAAAATCACCAAATTCTGATATTAAATAGTTTGAGTGACAGAGTTAATGATCAAAATATTACAACCTCTATTTAGCACATTGATTAGTTTAACCTAAGTGAAAACCATTAAAAATACTTTATCGATCCAAAGGGGGAAATTGCTAACCTTTATTGATGTCCTTGCTGTAACAAAGGTGGTGATGTAGATATAGTAGAGAGAAGCAGGCCAGTCAGGTAAAGACTTTAAAGCTGCAACGACTTAAACCTGACACCAGAAAGTAGCCCAAAATCATCTTAACAGTGTATACACCAGACTTATGTCATTTCTGACATAAACTCCAATTTACACACACACACACACACGCACACACACACACGCAAAAAGACAAAAAACCTGGTTCATATATTTTGATGATTTATTTCTCCACTACAACCTTTCACACAACTACCTTTTTAAACTCTGTTAGCTTAGCATTTGTTTGTTTATTGTAATGTGGCACCATCATGTTTATCTTAAAGTCACCCGCCGGGATCCTGGAGTGTGTTTACCTCCACACACACCCCTCCTGTCAGTCCAGGACGTGGGATTCCGTGTTACACGCCCACGAGCCTGCACCGGCTCACCGTCCCACACCCAACAAAACAGGATCTTTTAATAAATGTGTAACCATGCACACACACCTTTCTCAAATATACATTCCTCTGCAGACTGATTAAAGCAGCTGCACTGTGACTTATAGAGGAGTGACACTTGAGCAGCGCACCAAGCTACAAACTCTGGTCCTCTGGCTGCACAGTTCAGATCCCCAAGGTAAGTTTGAGGCTTTACAGAGGAACTTTGCATTGATTCTTAATGACAGCTGTTAGTCAGTGACGGTGTTATGATTGATTTATTTACTGAAATGAATTACAGAAGTTTTTATGATTGGGGAAATGTTTTAAACAGGCAAAACAATGTTATTTGGCGTTTATGTTTATGTCTATCTTGTCACAAAATGACTTCAGGGGCCACTGTGGGGCCCGAATGACACACTCTTTAAACAAGGAGTAAGGTTTTTAATGGGATTATTCGCAAAATTACATGTTTTTAATTCATAATGCTTCAGTTTTACTTGCAGACTACTAAAGGATAGCTACCATCAGATGCCGAGTTCACTCTTTTTGACATAAATTCTCAACCATATAGCCAGGATCAATAAGTAGCAACAAAATGACATGATGCTTCTCTGATGTTTTTACATATTTGTCTTTTCTCTCTGTCAGTGGATTTCTTGTCTTCTTTACTGACTGGAGGTTACCCATCTTTTTGTTTACCACTGCCTCAGTGGATACAGTCTAGCTTTCGAGGCTTGTTTTAAGTTGCCTGCGACTCGTACATGGACACAGGCAGCTAAAGCAAGTCTGGGACGCCAGAGACACACCTACAAAGCCCAGCCCTGAGGAGCTCCTGAGAATGGAAAATCCAGGTTTTGGTCCAGGAGGAAGGGATACAGGAAATATGCTATTTGCTAATAACTTTTTGCATTGCTTTAAGATTTTCTCCCCTTTGTCTCAGAGGGAAAGCCCTGAAGTCATATGTTGAGACAAATTCTGCAAACGTCTTTATAGTGTTTTTACAAAACCTGATGATGTGAACAGGGACTTACAGGTACAAACTATGCAGTTAAAAAGAAAAAGTCCTACAAGTAGCCTACAGTATACTCAACATACTGTGTGTTTGCATTTGTGCTTTCCAGAGAGCAAACACTAAAAAAGATTATGAGTGATTAGCCGACAGTTTACTTTCAGTTCAGTCAACACACAGGGCCAGATATGCAAAGTATGCTTTGAATTAAAGTTTAAAGTGATGAATTTTTGTTGGGTTACTGTATTGTAACTTTATTTCAAGGTATTATTTGTGGTTTAAAGTTTGAGGTTTTCAGGTTTATTTGACATATTTTCTTAGTCTCTTCTGAAACTTGAAACAATGATACCTCATTCAAAATTTCAGGGGAAGGGCATGAATATTTAATCTGACAGAGGGTGAATTGGGAGCCCTGCAGTAGCACAGATTAACCTGTCTGGCTTTTAATATCATGACACATATATTGCATTTTTGACAGGACAAACCAGATGCAAAACCATGTAAGATTGTGGCAGAAGATGCATGTGTCAGTGTCAGTGTCAGAGTGTTTTCATATTCTCTTTTTAGATGTTTCTTAAATGATTTTACCGGCCTGATTGCCTTGATTAGATCACTTTCAGTGGTGTTATAGACAAGGAGACACAAATGTGATGCATTTACATGGCACATATCTTAAAACAATATCCTCCAGGATACCACTTCCTTTTATGGACAAAGATTTATCATGCTAGGGTTTTTTTCCCACTCATAAATGCCATGAATTCACTGTTTAACTTGATATTTGTCGCTGTTTGATGCCCCAAAGTGCTTCGCAGCAGAGAAATACACTTTAGATTCTAACAATAAAGCCTTGAACACTATTAGAGATTGTGTGTTGAACTCGTGTGAAATAAATCAATTTCTAACAATGTTTCAAATGCTGTATGTGTTTGTAATGTCAACATTATTTGCACCTAAATTAAATGTCGGTTGAACTGTTTTACCTATCTGTGTGACCTAAAATTCTAAACTATAACCACAGTTTCAGAGGGTGTGTATACTATATACTTTGGTAACACCTAATAGAAAGTGACAGCTATGCTCAGCCTGTTTCTGGTCAGGGCAATAAAGGCCATGAAGCTTCACACAGTTCACTGCCTCCAGAAAACACAAGAAAAGAAAAATAAAAGCGGACATGATAACGTCAGTGAGCACCAGAAGCCATGGTTTTAACATTACAGCCTCATTACCTCCAGATTGAGGCTGTATAACCTTAAACCCACAAACAGAAGGTTAGGGGGATGAAATGTCCTTGCTTGCTCGTGCGCACTGAGGCGTGCCTTTCAAGGTAAATATTCTTTTCCCAACATGAAATAGGCCTTTGTTGTTTGCCGAGAAGTAAAGAGGCGGAAAAGTGAGGAGGATCTGAACTGGTTTCCATGTCAAACACTTCAATTCACCATAGAAACTCAGATCTTAACGCGGAAACTTTATTAAACTGTGATGGTGGATTGATAAGGGCCGAATTTCTATCGGCCTCTTTTTATTGTGGGCACCAGGCGGGCTGACAGAGGTAAATTGCTCTTTTAATTAAAGCAATGCACCAGGGGAAATTGCTGTCTGAATATTGTCTCAGAGATGGGGGCCAGTGACAGTTGCCTGGAAACTTCAATCTGTCCACCCGCATTTATTCCAGATCACAGTTATGAGATAAAGTTTAATAAAAATCTTTTTCCTCCGCCACCAACGAAATGAAATCCAACCCATTCTGAACAACTGAACACAATGAGACAGGACTGCGGAGGAAACCTCATGTTCAACATGTATCTCTCAGGTTCGTCATTTTGGCCCGTTAAGAATTATAGAAATAGCCGCTTATAATTCTTTAAATTCTACCGGGTGTCGGTGTCCCGATGGCGGTGATGCTCCGTCTCCAGGGCACAGCATTGTTCAGCCTTTTCAATCTGAAAGCCCGTCTGCTCTTTTGTCGGAAATCGGAAATCCTTTTTCCTGGACGCGTTTCCTGGCTTCTCGGAGAGGAGACCGCAAAGACGACACGCTTGCATTAGACTGCGACTGGACCAGGACACAATTAGGATTTTGCTCATTTTTACCTTTTGTGGAGATTTTGACATTTTGAACATCTTAATTTAGTTTGAATCCAACGCACCGGTCTGATCAGATTTACAGCATCTTTTAACATTTTTATAACAGCTGCTCTTTAATAAAACACTTTCCTCTCAAAACAGATGATGCGAATTGAAGATTATTTTATTTCATTCACCCTGTTGAAGTGCATTTGGTCTTGCTTGTTAAAAAAATATATCATTTCTAGAAAATTGTGGATCCTGCAAAGCAATATTATTAAAGTATCCTAAATGTCTTCCTAATATGGATCATTTATAGAAGATATGAAATCGTTACCAGGCCCGCGCGATGGCAGGATGCTGATGATGCTGACAGTGTTTCTGCTTTGATTTCAGATCCAACAGAAAATCTGTTGAAAGAAAGCAAAGGGACATCCTGGGGTCCAATAAACACAGGAGTACAGAAAGGTAAGAGGATGAAACCGACGGCCTGTCGGGACACATAGAGGGCGCAGGTATTTAATATCAGTAAGCTTATTATGATATGACAGAAGTCTTTTAATACTCCAACACACTATTTGACAATATTGATGGTGAAATATTAAAAAATAATATTGATGATGAATGATATTAAAAATATTAACCACAGAAGAAATGCCTCAGAGGCAGACGTGGTTTTTTTTGGCTATAGCCTAGTAACAAACTGACTTTAAAATAATTCAAGGAAACAATAAATCTTATCAAAATAATATGATAAAAATGTCATAATTATTATAGCAGGATTGAAATGAGTTAAAAGCTAATTTCTTTTGTGTTTCTGCAGCAGTTTTAATTGGTATGGAATCGATAAAACACCACAGCCTAATTTCTAAATTCATTTTCTCAATGCACAGCTATATTATGCTTTACGGTCACAGATCATATAGAATCTGATTTTAATTAATGACGTTATTCTTGTCACCCTATAACCAAAATATAAATAGTCTCAAAATATAAAATTATAAATGGTCTCATCCATGGCTCAAAGCTGAATCATAGAGTCATAGTAATGCTATATATAATAAACTTAATAAGAGGAACAAATAAAAAAAGAACAAATAAGAACATAGAAATAAATACATAAATATGCACAATCTACCTGCAGTCCGTCCACAGCTTGTTGTCACTGATTTAATTACACTGTGATGGAGAGTTAATAGACTTAAACGCACATTAACACATCTCAAAACCAGATGCAGAGGGCAAAATAAAGCATTTTTGGCGTTTTTAAATAGAAAAATGGCAATTTTACACATGTAAATTACATGTACAGTGACACCTAATAGCACTTACATTATTTAAAATGTTGTATTGATAGGTTAAAGAATCTCATGTTTAAAAATACATTTGGATGATATCGTTTAAATATTAGGATATAAATAAAATAAAGATCAGGATAGCACTCCAGTTTGAATTATTCATTATATTGCCACACGGATCTTTTGGGCAAGACGCCCTCCTTTAGAGTGTTTTCTTGCAATGTCACAAACAATGTACACATGTGGTGTTAATTATAGGTGACCACCAACACAACTATCTAAGGGAAAAATGCTCAAGATGCGTTGCAATTTTATGAACGATAAAAAGAGTAATGTTTGCTGTAAATATGAACTGTGCAGTTTTAATTCAAAGCATATAAAATGTCTCTAAATGTGAATCTTTTTCTCATTGTCTGATATTTGCCTTGAAAGAGCAGTGCTATAGCTATCACATTTTGCCTCTGAAATTTTATTTATTGACTGAAATATTATTATTTGATGAAAGCGATAAAATGCCAGCTGTTAAATCCTCCCACCATGTGGTTTTCATGTTGATTCACAAAATATTTCTGGCGATGTTTCACTGATTTATCAGTTTAATTTATTTCTTATCTTTCATATCAAATCACTGGTGGTTGTCTCCTCTACAGGCAGTGGGCAGATCCAGCTGTGGCAGTTCCTGCTGGAGCTCCTCTCTGACAGCACCAACATGTCTTGCATCGCCTGGGAGGGCACCAACGGTGAGTTCAAGCTCATCGACCCGGACGAGGTGGCTCGGCGCTGGGGGGAGCGCAAAAGCAAACCCAACATGAACTACGACAAGCTGAGCCGGGCGCTGCGCTACTACTACGACAAAAACATCATGACCAAAGTCCACGGCAAGCGGTATGCCTACAAGTTTGATTTCCACGGCTTGGCGCAGGTGTGCCAGCCGTCCACCACGGAGCAGGCCATCTACAAGTTTCAGGGTAACTTCTCCCCGATACCTTTCTCCGGGATTTCCAAACTGAACCTCGTGGCTCCCGGCGTGGGGCCGTCGAGTTTCTCCTATTGGCCCGGTTCCCCTCCGACGGCTCTGTATCACAGCCACAACCTCCAGCCGCCGGGGCCATTTGGCACCGTGTCCCCGTCCCACATCAGCTGTGTCAACAACATCAACAGTCTAACTAACATCAATAACCATTACAACTGACTCTTAATGCATCTTTAGACAACCTGGAGACATATAGACACCGCGGGTAACACAGCAACTAACGAAGGGAGGTGACAAAGAGCACCGAAAGGTCGGGTTTGGTCATTTGCAGGTGAAAATATTGAATTAATTTGAGTAGAAATAAATATTTTTAGACATAGACACGATTATTTCAACAGCACAGGCTAAATTTAAATGCGTTATTATGGAGCTGCGGTCATGTAGATGCTGCTGAGACGACGGTTATATGTAAGAAAGACATCTTAAAACGTGTACATTGACAAACAAAATAATTGACCCCTTTTAACCTTTGAACCACGACATCTATTCACGAGCGAATTATTAAATCCATTCAGGGCCGCCTATCAAATTACGCACAGCGGTTTGAACTTTTACGCACGGCGTTTCAGCCACAATTTTAGCTAGATATTAAGTCCCACAGACTCACAATATGGAAATTGTTAATTTCAGCCACAATTTGTGAAATTAAATCGGCTATTTTCCAAAAGGTTCCGGTTTCCCAAATGAGCAATGTACAGAAAAATATAAAAATAAGATAATGAAATACAAATTGTCTGTTTTATACCTAAGCGTTCTCATCCTTTTCTGTTCCTTTGCTGTACCTCATCCTCCTTCCTTGAGTTCTGTGGTTGTTTTTACATACAGGTGGATGTATTGGCATCAATTTGGGAGCGAATCACCTCATATTATTGGACTTTTGGCGCCATCTCGTGGTTGTAGAGTTGCCTAATGCCTGTTGGGCGTTTGTTTTCCTTTTACTAAAACAGTCACCTGAAATATATTGTCACTTTAATCACTGTTTGCTTACAAATCAGATTACGCATAACCATGCCCATATAGGAAAATCAAACTTGCAATAAAAATAAAACCAGTACAGAAGTACAGGGTGTACAGGCTCTAATGTGAGTAGTAAGAGAAACTGTGAATTCATGACCACCTCTGTAAATACTGTAGTGTAGAGACAGGCTCAGGCTAACGCTGCTTTTTAGTGATTTTGGAGTGAATAACATTGCATTCATTGACACAGCTTATTATTCTAGCTAAAACCAATACCAATAAAAAATTAGTTAAATAAAAATGCACTGTTATAAATAAATGTCTTTGTCAGTATGTGTTTGAATCATGTGTTGGTTGCACTTTCTTTCAGTCTTAACGACAGTGTGTGCCACATTACCATGTATGCACAATCTACATGTGCTTTCAAAGTTCCTGCTGTTTCATAAAATGTGTGTTTTAAAATGGGTTTGTACTCATAATGCATTCTTTTGATTGGTGATAAATGACCAGCTGCTGCTGCTGCTGATGATGATGGAAAGTACATGACAAGATGAGAAACCACAGACATGTTCACACATGGTGGACAGCAGTATGCAGTGTTGCTGTATAATTCTGCCATCAGCAAGCAGTCATCCATTTAACATTTATTATCTTTGATATGAAAGGTCCACTGACACACAGATGCCATGCACATGTGGCTTAATTTTGATGATCAGGATACTTGACATACTTGCATTGGCAGTGCAGTAGAAAGCAATATGCTACAACTGGAGTTAGTTAATGCAACTGAGAAAAAAAAAATCCAAAGCAGCTGTAATATGTTTTAAAAAAACTAGTATATTCTGAAGTGTCAGCATCACTGAGCACACCGTTTTAAAGTCTATACAAGCTATTTTTGTTTTCATTTCTAATGCCAATAGGAACACATCATCCAATCAATAGTGCAGCAGTAAAAATAACAACAGTATTTCTGCTGTATTACATGGGAATTACTTTATTGGTCATTAGTTGTTATCATGTAGGTAAACTGTATGTGTTATGGCTAAGTTTGCTGCTGTTGTTACTATAGCACAACTGGTGGCAAAATTTGACAGTTGATTTTATCAGCCACGCGGGGGCGCCATAACTCTTCCAACACCAGAACACCGTTTACATAACCAGGTGATAACAGAGTTGGTCCAATATAGATCATACAAGCATCTGCAAATAACAGATTAACCCCAAACCTCATTTTATGACAGTGTGAGTCTAGAGAGATTAAAGTATGTCTGGACTGAGCATTATCAGACAATTAAATGGACATGGGAGTCTTACGCCCATTATATAAAAGGACAAAAATAGCACCTCTAACCTTAATAGGTGTACATTTACGGAAGACACTTGAAACTGGAGAGCAGTGGTGGACTCAAGCTGTCACAGGGTGAGCGTAAAAAAGAAAGGGCGCCAGCATGCAACAAGTTTTTTACAATGTAGGGCAGCCTATATTACAATACATCATGTTTTCTCACTTGAAAGGAAACCCTAGAGGGCGCTACATCACGTTTTCTCCACTAAAAGAGCACCTATTACCACATAGCATCATACCTATGTTTTGTCCACTAGAAGGGCACCCATTGGTGCAGTGTAACATGTTTTTCCTACTGGAAGGGCACCTTGGATGGTCCTGCATCAAGTTTTCTCCACTGAAAGGGCAACCTACGTTTTGTCCACTAGAAGGGCACCCATTAGTGCATTGCAGCATGTTTTTCCCCACTGGAAGGGCAACCTATGTTTTGTCCACTAGAGGGACACCCATTGGTGCTGTGCAACATGTTTTTCCTACTGGAAGGGCACGTTGGATGGCCCTGCATCATGTTTTCCCCACTGGAAGGGCAGCCTAAAGGGCCCTACTTTGTGTTTTGTCCACAAGAAGGGCACCCATTGGTGCAGTGCAAAATGTTCTTCCTATTGGAAGGGCACCTTGGATGGCCCTGCATCAATTTTCTCCACTGGAAGGGCACCCTGGAGGGCACTATATAAGAATTTATGTTGTTTTTGTTTTTTAACAATAAATAGAAGGGTTTTTATTCTGTTGTCATGTAATGCCTGAGGAAAATGATAGACTGGTGTATAATCACACATTGTGTGTATCTGTGTGTATGTGTGTGTGTGTGTGTGTGTGTGTGTGTGTGTGTGTGTGTGTGTGCACTTGTAAAGGAAGGGGAGAGTGGGTCACTCATCCACAACAACAGCATCAGTGTATGTGTCCCGCATATCAATAGAAAAGACTTGGGGTCCTTTTGACAACCAAATCTCTCTCTCTCTCTCTCTCTCTCTCTCTCTCTCTCTCTCTCTCTCTCTTATTGGCATTACATTTCCTATGTGTTGCCAAAGCACAATTACAATTTAAGACAGTGGGAATTGATGTGGGAAGTGATGGAGTAAATAAAAATGCAGAGTTTGATCAGTGATGAGACAACGTATGTTGTAGTATTGGTTGTCCCTCAGGCTGTGACATGCACTGACATGTCTTGCTGCATCTATGGCGCTGAAATTATCTTCAAGTATATATTGCATTTTAGTCTAGGGTGTATCAAAATCTTGGAGTTAACATCTATTTTTTTGTAAAAGAACTTTGTTCTGATGTCTTCATATGTGCTACACTGTAGCAGGAAATGTTGCTCTGTCTCCACCTGTCTCTGTGGACAGAGCTGACACAGCCTGTCTTCTCTAGGAAGCCAGGTCTGCCTGTGTCTGCCAGTCTCTATGGCCAGGCCGTGAACTATCTGTCACAGCATTCAGATAGTTTGCCATTGTGTACTATCTTTTTCGGGCCAAATAGCATTGGAATTTGTTTGGGGTTTTTGTGGTAGATGTCCAATAGTTTAGTGATAATTTCATTGGGCTGGATTGTGTAAGGTTTGTTCTCAGGACCAGCTGACCGACTCTCAGTTCTATTTTTATTTGAATCAAAGAGGCTTCATTGGCATGACACTTGACATGTGTTGCCAAAGCACAATTACATTTATCAAAGACACCGAATGAAATAGAGTGAAAATAGAGTGAATAACAATATTAGTTAATAGAACAAAATAGACAAACAAGCAACTGGCAATAAGATATAGAGATGTTAACAATAGGGATAATACAGCCAATAATACACAACCACTAGTCTATAAATAATAATGTAAAAAAACAAAGTAGATGGTGGTAAGTACAAGTAGATTTCTTTTGTGTTGGAAGGAAGTCACATATTCTGCAGCCTACATTGCACATTCTTTCTTTTCCCCCAGAATGAGGTTGCCTGATATCAGACAGAGTTGTCATCTCGGTGGTGTGGGCAGATTCTTAGATCTGAAGCCAGGCAAAGCATGAGGGGTAATTCCTTGCTTTCTGTCAGAGTTTTGAGTTCAGGGCTTCTTTTTTTATTATTATTATTATGTAGAGACTTCCTCTGTAATACTTACGTAGTTTTGATATTCTGTTAGAAAGTGTCTGTCTCTGCAGCTCCCTTATAACGACGACAGAACAGCCTGTCCTCTCTGTACAGCCAGGTCTGCCTTTGTCTGCCCTTCTCTATATCCAGACTACAGACACTCAGTCTGTATACTGTCAGTGTCTTTCTTAGGTTCTTATCAGTTTCTGTGGTTAAGAGTCTACGGTATTTATTTAGGGCCAAACATGTTTGTAGTTTGTGTTGTGAGCATGAAATATACTTGTCTTTAGTTATAATTTGGTAGGTCTAATCTTCTGAGTGATAGTGTAACAGCTCTGAGGCTAGCTGGGGTTTATGTCTCTCTCTTACTGTGTGTGTGTGTGTATGTGCTTGTGAGAGAGAGATTGCAAATGGTCTGTAAGGGGCGACAGAGAGACAGGTGTGCATCCCGGATACGTTGCTCACCCCCTGTGGACTTCTATCATGCATCTGAGAACAACATAGTGGAAACTCCACAGGGATTGTGTCACTTCCGCAACATTGTAATCGTCGCTCTGCCAACTGTCCTGCCACTAATCTGCTGCGCCTATTGTTGCTGCTCAGCACTCACCGTCTCTCCTATTCTTGCGTAACAAACTACGTGGGTGTTTTTGCTGCAAGCCACAGGATTAACAGAGTGAGTGTAGAGGACTGAGGAGCGGGAAGAGAACACGAGGGAGAACGAACAGAAGAATAACTTAATGTTACTTAGCAGCACCTATGTTAGAAAGGAAACCTCTGTGTAAGTTATTCTAGGAAGAAAGATGACTGGTATTTGTGACTCAAATTAGACCACAGATCTTAGTGTGTTCTCAGCCATTTGGACGTTGGGATATATTCATGACGAGACAGACTTTGTAGGCAGACAGTCAGTCTCCTCAGGACTTGGGCTTGTCGCTGATGCAATGAAACATCTTTAAGGACCACACTGGGGTTTTTGCATGTTGTAACCCATGTTCTGCAAAACACATAGCCTATGCTGTACATCCCCACAGGTCATTTTCAAAGGCATGTCATCTGGACATTAAACTTGGGATTTATATGGATGTGTTTTGTACAGTCTTGGCAGCTACTGGGTTCAGTTCACGTCAGTATGGTGTAAAAACCAACTTGTCACAGTGGACGTGGTAATCTTTATTTTTGTTTAAGTCAGTCCTTCTGTTGTGTGGTGATGCAGTTTCAAAACTGCAGCTTTAAGGGAGGTGCGTTCAGGTGATGGTGGGAAACTCCGATATCTGACAGCTGAGAGTAGGTTGCTACACATTGTTGCATTCATAAGCTTTCAAACTCTGAATAAAGTGAACATTATGAAAAGAGGAAACGTGAATTTGGTCGTGTCCAACAAAA